GGGTGGGCTGGGCAACTGATCATTGGGTGGTGAGAATAATTTGTGTTGTATCACTTTATTTTGTATATTCTTTTCCTGTTTTTTCCCCTCCTCCATTACTGTTCTATTGAACTGTCTTTAATTCAACCATGAGTTTTTTCCCTTTCCCCTCCTTTTGTCCCTACCTTACTGGGGTGGGAGGAATCAAGCAGTTGTGGGGTCCTAGTTGCCCAGTCCTGGCTGGGGTTAAATCACCAGCGTGGTAGACCAAACAAAAGGTTTTAGCACAAAAGTGTGTGTGGGGGGGGGGTTGTTGTTTTTGTTTTGTTTGTTTGGTTGGTTTTTTCTTAAGTAGCAGAAATGGAGCATTTATGAAGAAAGTGAGAGCAGGACATTTAAGCCAACCACATAGATATAATCACACGTGGGAGCTGGCTGACTCTGTCTGTGGATCCTGCAGATCTCTTCCATTCCTAGTACAGATCCCCATGACAGCCTCAACCTGCTGGGTGGTGATGCTGTAAGACATAACAGGGGACTATTGCAAGCTCTGCTCTTACTTAGACTTCATTACTCTTCTAAAATATACTCAAATACATTTACAACTATGCTTAGAAGTATTAGCATAAATCATGGATACTGAATGGCATGCAAAAATAAATGAACCAAATCTGTTTGGGGAGGTTATCTCTTCAGTTATTTCTTATCGTGTTTGTTCATTTAATGAATTTTGCCAATTAGCAATTAATTTGCAGTAGGTCTCCTAGTCATTAGTGTGAATTAGCAAGGTTTTGTTGGCAGAATGTCTTGAACATTAAATAAAAATCCTGTATCATTCAAAACCTCACGGGTACTCTGCGGTGAGACCCTCTATAGGAATTAAACTGCTCAGGGCCACCCCCCAGGTCTCTCAGCCCCTGCTGTGAAAGTGCAGTGGATGCTCTGCTCATCTATTTAAGCTGCGTGGCCCAATTCCTGAGCAGTGCCCTCCTCCTTTGTGGGGAGCAGACAGGGTCAGCACCGGTGTCCTCCGTTCCTTGCAGGCCAGCAGAAGCTGTGTGTCCCAGCATCAGGCAAGGTTCCTCTCTGCATAGGTAGGCTCTGGTACTGTGGCTCCATGGTGTTGATTCACACAATTTTCTATAGCTCTTTATTTATTTTTCTCTTGGTACACGCAGTTCATGTGTTTAATGCAGGTTGTTTATGGCAAGGACAAAGGATTACAGTCCTTAAATCAAAAGCGACGTTGGTGTAATTATAAGCGCAGGATGGTGTTGCAAAGAGGGCTGTAGGGAGAGGCTGTCAAAGGAGAAGAGCATCCAAAATATAGTAACCTCAAAAATCCCAGCTAATCAGTTTTCTGACTGGAGCAATCTGTTTCCCAGGTATTATTATTATATGGGGACTTTAAAGATAATAAATAACAATAATAGTCTAGTATAAGCAAGAAAAGAAAAGGGCAAATGCCATTCACCTCAGAAGCTGTGGTTGCTGCTGGAGTTCTCCCAGGAACATAATTTTCCTCAGCCCCTGCGGAGGACTCGATCCATGACAACACCAAGAACGTCCCAGGAGCCGTGGTGTAAGCAACGAGATTGCCCTGAGTGGTGTTTTCATCAACGCAGAGCTATGGCCTGCAGAAACCACATACCCCAGCGCACACAGCTCAAGCCACAAAGCTGTTGTCTGGTGCTGCTGGCTGGGACCTGTGGTCCCTGTGGATTGCCTCGTTCCTCAGGAATGAAGGCAGGTGACACACCGCTTCCAGCACTCTGGTGCATCTCTGGACATCTACTTAAAAGACCAAAACAAAGAAGGGCTTGCTGAAGTAGTCTTGGGCTTATCAGAGCTGTACAGTGTGTGAAGGCTTCTCTCCTGCAACAAGGCAGCCCAGCTAACGGACCCTGGCTAACAGATTATCAGTAGCATTTGAGTAATAGACTGCTCATTTAGTTTTAATACATTTTGCATAGAGAGCAATCAGCCTTCATCAGTCTTAGAGATGAATTGGCTTAGCCAGCTAAATTCTAAAGATATTAGTCCGACAGCAGCCACATAAATCATAACATTTTCTTAATGATGGTAAAATTAAAATATACTCTTGCTTTGAGAAACCAATGAAGCCTTCCTGTTTGCAGGCCAGATCCTCCTGCCTGAATTAAAAGGAAGCTTAATTGATGTGTTTTTAAACTAAACTTACAGCCTCGCTCCTCCTGAGCATCACTAGTGTTCCTTTCTTTGAAGTTAAATTAATTTGTCCTGCCTCTCCCTGCTCCATCCTCTAATCTTGAGGAGTGTCAGTGAAGACCTTGGTTTGATATTCATTGACCAGACTCCTGTGGGATGTGAGCAGGACGTACACAACATCACAGCTGAAGGCTTTTCCAGGTTAATCGTTTGTGTTGCCAGCAGTTCCTTGAGCTAGCAGAAGCCTCCCAGGAGAAAAGCTTGTGCTCTTCCTCTAACCAACAAACCAAGACCTCCTGTCAGTCCACCTATCCTAGCCATGCATGAACTTTTCCTATTTCTTGTCCTTTGTTCCTGAAGCTGGCGTGAAGCCCAGCAGGCTTTTGCTAGCTGTGTTTAACAGAAGGGAATCCTGCCATTAGATGGAAAGACTGTGATGTTAGTGTTAGGGACAGGGTGAAGACAGACTCTCAGGGCTCCAATAATCACACAAGTACTGTGTGTCCAGAGGTCTTCAATGAGGAGATGCTGGGCTCTGTTAGCTCATTGTGTCCTGCAAGTTAAGGGTAGCACAGTCTGAATAGGTCAGCCCATACATCCCCCAGCTGAGGCAGGGCTGGGTACATGGCCCATCTGAAATGTTCTATGTGATTCCCTGTGGGGCAGAACAGTTCTCTGGACCAAGGCCTCTTGCTCTCAGGAATGTCTTCCTGGTGCTCCAGGCTAACCATTCTGTCTCCTGCTAAGCTCTGCTAAGTGATCTTTCCTTCCTTGGCATCCCACTGCTGTCTCCAGCATGTCACCCACCAAATAAACAGAACCATCTCCTGTCCCAGTGCTCTGGGCTTCCTTGTCTTAGGCTCTACCCTGTCCTCCTGCTCTTCAGCAGAGCCTGTGCAGGTAATCTGTGCAACACAGCTCCTGGGAAAACCTATTCAAGTAAGGTTCTACTCAAGTTAAGATTCTGGACCAAAGACTTGACTGAAATCCAAATACCTGATACCTCTGGCGACCTTTTTTTCTGCTAAAACAATCATTATTGTTTGTAAAGATTCAGTTGCTGAAGTATGAAATCCATTGCTATGCTGAAACCCCAGCTCTAAGCCAAAGACCCTCAGGGTATAAAGGAGGACAGAGATGTCCTCTAGTCCCTACCAGTGCTGGCTGTTAGCACGAGGGTGAGTTTTCCTTTTTCCTTAGTGCCCCTTTTGGATTCTCTGGATCAGGTTGGTTTCTTAGAAATCCTCCCCGATTGGTCCTCTTGGTCCTTTTTCTGGAGTCTTAACTGTGGTGGTAATACCTAGCAAAGGGACTAGGTGCTTCTTAGCGCATGCTGTGAAAGCCCCGTTCCCCTGGGGTGCTCTGTGGTATCCATACTCTATTTTCTTGACTGAAACAGTGTGGTGGAGAAGGCAGGTTTTCCCAGCAGATCCTGTGTTGGGGTTGTGGGGCTGCTGATGGGACCCATTCAGCCATAGCTGAGTTAAGGTTTGCACTTTCAGCATTTGGGTATGTGTGTGCAGTGCTCCTACCTTCAAAGGAATTAAGAAGTTCCAGACAGTGTGTCTTGTCATTTTTGTGTTAGGGCAGTGAACACGGTGGAAACAGTGTGCCTAATTTGTGAGACTGACGTTGGGCTGTCTGTTTTGGGGAACTTCAGCCTGTGGCTTATGGGAAGTAAGATGACCGTGGGACCCTCTGGCGAGCCCACCTCAGAGGCCAGGTGGAGCAAAGAATGGCTCTTCCTTCAGGTCATTCCCAGCCCAGTGTTGCAGTTTCATGGTTGGTTTGGCCAAGGTTGGGGCCACTGGTCAGTAAGTGGTGAGCAGGATGGCTGCAGGATGCTCTCACCTCTTGGCTATTCAGTAGCCTGTTGGACAGCTTGGGCTGGGGATGGTGATCCCCGGGTGGAGGTGTGAGCTTCCCTTCCCAGGGTTGTATGTGGAGGGACAGCCTACGACCATGTGCGATGAGATGTTGGACTCTGTGGTGTTCAGAATAATCTCTTTCCTGGTCTATCTTCTAGCATTGCTGAGAAAGGAAAGCGCTTTCATTCGTTCTTGGAAACCTGTTCTCCCTGCCATATTGTGCCAGCTGCGTTTGTGCTGCTTGTAATCTAATAAATGCTTGGTCTGAGCAGCTAGCACTCCTGCTAGAGCCCAAATGAATGCAGAGGAAGGACCCTGCTAAGTGTATGCATTCTTCCTCTCCTGGCCAGCTCCGAGTCCCTTTCATAGCTCACATCTGATGCTTCCTCTCTCACCTAGCCCCTTAGCTCCGATGTAAATGTGTGTTCACACTTCCGCCAGTCAAGTAACTGTGCTCTCTCTGTCTCTCCCCTTTGTTATAAAGCCTGCTCTGTAAATGAATCCCACAGGTCTGGGGCTCAGCAGGTAAAAGGAGAAGTGAGTCTGTTAGCGCATGAGTCTAATCAGGCCGGCTAAAGCGAATAAAGTAGGGCAGCATTGCACATTAGCCGCTGTGTAAATGAGCCCTTTGATGGGCTGGGCACCGCGGGAGAGGGTTTGAAGCCAAGAAGAACTTTTGTTGTTAATTCAGTGACACATGGAAACTGTAAAACAGCGTGTCTTGCACACACACGAGAGAGAAAATAAAAGCCCTCACGACCGGGCTTTTCAATACCTGCCCTCGGACCTAGTCTGAAAACTTTCAGCCCCTGTCTCCCTCTCTTACCACTTGATTTTCCTTTCTCTCCCTTTCTTTTTTTGTTCCCCCTGCACTATAAAAAGAAAAGCTCTCTTGCCTTTTGAACTAGACGGCTGTGAGTGAGGGCTATCTCTGAGCTGTGTGGCTCTGTTACCTTTGTGTTCCAGATGAAACTGCCAAGCTCGGTGGGACAGAAGAAGATTAAAGCCCTGGAGCAGATGCTGATGGAACTCGGAGTAGGTGAGTAAAGGGGGCACGCGAGAGAGAAAGAGACACACAGAGCTAGCCTTTGTTCTTGAGATGGGCTATTTTTTCCCCTAGTAATACAGCCAGTTTCTTGAATAACAGTGTGTGAATGGTTTTTAAAATATTTTATGTGTTTAAAAAAAAAAAAAAAAGAAAGAGAGAGGGTAAAAGCCAGAACAAGATGCACAGGGCTTTTTTTTTTTTCCTCCCAGTAGAAAAATGTTATAAAAGAGCCTTTGTTTCTCTCTTGTTTGGGCCTTTTTAACCATCAAGAGAGGCACCACAGTATTAGGAAGGCAAATCTCAGCCTTGCCGGGAGAGGTACTTCTAAGTGTGTTAGTGACCACGGCATGTGCATTGTTCAGGGCTGCCCTGTCTTGCTTTCAAGCTTCGTTTCCTCTTAATTTACTGCTCACGGTGGCAAGTCCAAAATGCGTCTGGGACTGTTCATCCCCCCTTTATAGGTTGCATGCTGTGTGAAAATCTGGAGCATCTCTGCTGAAAGGCGAGTAAACACACAGCCCTCACTCTTGAACTCCAGTGTCTTAGCAGCAGAAAGAAGGGTTCACTTAACATGTACAATACCCACTCGTAGCTAGAGGGGAAGTAGTGCAGCCCATGGCTGGCTGCTGCCCTCCATGCAGAGGGTACAGTTTGCAGGTACTACAGGTCCCAGCATGTAGTGCCCCTTGATTAGACACCTGATGATCCCCTTTTCCCCCCACTGTGGCTGGGGGGTATTTTTAAAAATAGAAAAAGAAAAAAAAAAAAAGGCAAAAAAAAAAAAAAACCCTCCCGCTGCAACGGGACGTCACCCTGTGTCTGCGGTGCTGCTTGGAAGCCTCCAAAATCTCCCTGCCTACAGAAACCCCTGGCCTGAGGCCAATCTCCACCCAAACTCTGGTGATGAGCGTCGCCACCCAGAGTGGCCAGGACTGAGGGGAAAAACCACCCAGCAAAGGGGGGGGGGGGGGGGGGGAGTTTTATAAAAAAAAAAAAAAAAAAAAAAAAAAAAGGAAAAAAAAAAAAAAAAAAAGCCCTATTGGTGATTTACAAGAGATTATTGAACCTGCTCCCAGCACTGACTTCTGTTAACTCTTGTTAGTTTTTTGGGCCAACTGGTTTATGGCTTGATATGTTGTCTCAGAGACTGTGTGGAGTTCTGAAGGCCTCCTGTGGCTGGTGAAAGCAGCTCAACCAGGGTGGTTTTGCCTTTCTGCTTTAAAACTAAGGGAGTTACCATTTTTGCTTGCTAGGGAAGCCTTGGGGAGGGTGTGAGTGCTTCTTAGAGCTTGCTTTCCATGAGGGTAAGGAGGGGTTCCTGACTCCCCACTCCTGCCTTACAAAACACACGTGTCTTGAGGGCTTCCTGGTGCTCCAGCCCTGCTGTGCCTTAGTGTGCAGAAACTCACCTGGGCTTTGTGTGGGTGAACACAGTGCTGGCAGGAAAGGGTCATGGGGGCAGCCCTGCAGACAGGGGGCCACTGCTGTATATCCGGGCAAACACGCAGATCTTCATCCTTTTCTTCTCCAGAACATGCAGCTCTTCCTGGCTGTGTGTGCGTGCGATGGGCTGCAGCAGAATGTGTGGTGTGGGGAGGTGATCTGCCAGCTCCTGCTACAAGCAGCTCAGATCTGTGTTAAAACATGTCTGTAGCACAGCAGCAGAGCAATTTTCTGCCTTGGTCATACCCTGGGAGGAGCAACACGAGAGGTGAGGGAGCTGAGCCTCACCTCCCCTTGTTGGCGAAGGTATAGGGAACAGCGGGAGCTCTTCGGTCCCCTGCAGCAGTGTGTGAGGATTTGTTCCCAAAACTGAGCTCCTTTCATATGGCCTGGTGGGTAGCAAGGTTCAGGTGTCTGGTCTGATCTGCATCTTACGTCATCTTTCACTTGCTGAGTCCTCGGCTTTGCAGGGTCACCCTTAGTCCTTGGTCAGAGCCAAAGGACAGTCTGGAAATTCATGTCTCCAACCATTGGGGATGCCGGTTGCTAATGATCCGTGTGATGGGAGTGAGGCTCCTGGCGTATATTCGTGGGAGTGAATGGGCAGCCAGGACCTTTCTAGGGATCCTCTGCTCTAGGGTTGCAGGTCTGGGTATTTAACAGAACCCCTTTTTCTCCCTAGATCTCAACCCTATGCCCACAGAGGAGATTGTGCAGATGTTCAACGAGCTGCGGAGCGACCTGGTGCTGCTGTACGAGCTGAAGCAAGCCTTTGCCAACTGTGAATATGAGCTGCAGATGTTACGGCACCGCTATGAGGCCCTGGCCAAAGCTGGTAGCATTGGCCCCCTCAGTGCGGAAGGCGCGCATCCGGATGGCCAGACAGGGCTCAGCATCGAGGAGAGCAAGGGAGATGCCAAGGACCAGATCATTGATGTAGTAGGAGCACCACTGACCCCCAACTCGGTGAGGAGGAAGGTTGGGGGGGCAGAACAGGGAGCACTCAGGTCTCCGACGCAGATGCCCTGACAAGCGCTGGGGATGCTGCCCTGCTCTCCCTCCAGGCGTGCGCGTCCAAGGGAGCACAGCACGCCTCTTCCCCCCCAAGTCCCAGTGCTGCTCTCTGGGCTCGTCTCCTGTGCTGGACAGTGTTCTCGGTGCTATAGGTGGGCTCAGCAGGGCTTTCTACATCCTGCATGCAGGCAGATGGCTTGACGGTGGGTGCCACCATGGACCAAAGCGCAAAGCTTTGGGCGACGAGAGCTTGCACTGGCAGCAACAGTGAGGCCGGTACAGCTGCAGGCCTGAGGCATTTTCCTTCTAGACACAGCCCCTTAAGGGTTGCTCAGCAGGGAGAAGCGAGAGGGGAAAGCAGTCTTGAGATGAGCCATGACCTGCCCAAGTCCCTGGAATCAAGCCCTGCCTGGAGCAGGAGGCTTGGGAAGGAGAGAGGTGTTTGAAGAGCAAAGGGGTGTTTTTATACCCCACTTCCAGTGCCAAGAAAGGAAAGCTGGACCTAGGGGTTCATCCACCCTGAGCCCTGTGACAACGTCCTATGCATGTACCTCTGCAGGATGGGAGTCACCAGCCTCTCCTCCCTGCCTCCATGAGAGCAGGCTGCCCAGCCCCTCTCTGCTGCCTCAGGGCCAAGGCTAAGCCTGGGGATCAGCCGAGGCCGCTTTCCCTTCTGCGCAGTCCCCTGGCACAGCTGAGCTGAGCTGTCTGGTAAAAGCTGCCCGTCTCCACACAGTGGCATCCCCGACGCCTCAGACATACCGCCCCTGGTAGCAGCACAGACCTTTACTTTCTGAAATGTATGATGTATTGCAGGATATTGAGAACACCTTATCTGTCAACGGCAGAGGCGACACGTTAATCTGGACTTGAGTAATGTCCTATTTTGATTGTGACAATATGGAGTCTTAAGGAAGCGTTCCACTGAGACAGGTTCATGTTTGCAAAGGAGTCTCTTGAATTTTCTTTTCCCTACTGCATTCAATCTGAAATCTCACCCCTCCCTGCGGTCTGGAGTGTCCCGGTTTGTAAACTTTTCGGGCTGATTCACAACACACTCACTCTCTCTTGAGACTTTGCTTGTTGGGAAGGTGGGAAAGGTGGTGGTGATGGTGATGGTGGTGGCCATGGCTGCATGAGGAGGGAGCCCATGTGTATGTTTCTGACCACTTTGTTCCTCAGTGCCTCCTCCTGGAAACAAAGGGATGGGCCCAGGCAGCACAGAGAGGGTTAAACTGACCTGGTCTCTGACATATTTGAAAGAAATATAATCAAGTTAATTCACTGCAAGGCAAATTCAGTACCTAAAGGGCCCCCATGTTAAATACAGCACTGACCTTTACCGGCTGATTACACAAAGACGACACAATTAGATTAGTCCAAGACAAAAGGTCAAGCACATTCACACTGTGACCATTTTATGCTACCTTTCGAGGGGGGGAAAAATTACATCCCAGCTGGAGGGGTATCTTGGAGAGGAGGGGAATGGGGCTGCTGTACCACATCCTCCCTGGCTCAGGTATGTTTGGAGAGTCAGGCAGGACCTGAACTGTGCTTGCCGTGAACCTTTCCCATGGTTCTGGGCCACGTGGCCGTGGAAGAGACCAGCAGCCTGTGGCCCACGGCCAGCTTTTCCAAGGACGGGTTGAGCTGAGTGGGGGCCACGTGTTGATGGTGTTCCCTTCCCTGCCCGGAGCAGCCCCCAGTGCCTCTCGCTCAGCATCATGGCTAGGATTGACCTCTGGAAGATGAGCGGGCTGGGGTCAGCCCTGAGAAGGGGGGTGGCTGGGGCAGTTGCTGGCTGTTCAGCTGGTGGGGTGCATGCATGTGTCCCCACCCTGCACAGCAGTAACTCTGAGGTGTCCCAGGTGCCATGGGGACAGCGTGGGAGGCAGTGGTTCCAGGTTACAGCATTGAGAAAGCAGCCCGCTGTGCTCTGCAGTGGCCTTTGCCTCCATCGCCTCCTGCAGCCCCGGCTGTGGGTGCTTGTGGGTGACACCTTGCCCTTGCCCTCACCGGGGCCACTCCAGCGGTTTAACCCTGCCACACCAGCCTTGAACTCCCAACTTCAAGTGTGTGCTTTGCCACTGAGCTGCTGGGGGCCCTTGGAGGAATCATTTAATCTCCCTGCTTCAGATTCCTCCGAGTTGGAGAATCCCTTTGTGCTGTCTATCAGTGCCCGTCCATGGCCCTCCACGTGTTGGATTAAGTAAGGATTAGTTCAGCCTCCAAGCCAGCTGCGCCCCCGAAGCCTGATTTGTTTCCCCGGAGAGAAGAATCTTGCTCCAGATGTTGGAGGGAGCGAGTGGCAAAGCCAGGAGTAGGACCAGGAGTCCTGACTCCGAAGCCCTGCCGGATTCCTTTCAAGCAATTGGCTTGGAGGCACACCAAGGTCCTGAGATGCTGGTTGTGGCAACAGCTGGCTGCCACCATCCCCCTTGGCCAGCCGTGGGGATGGGGAACGGCTCAGCAGGGTATTTTAGCCCAGGTTAGGAGAGGTGTCCGTTCTGCCATGTGTCCACCCCATCCCTCCTGCCCTGGCTGCCCGTCCACGCTCTCCTTAGGGCTGCAGTGCCCATGGCTGACCATTAAAGCCGAGCTGGGATCCCCCCGGTGCCGTCTGCTGCTGACCCCGGTAGGGACTTTACTCGGGGCCTTTGGGAGGTGAAAGGTGAGCCGAACTCGGAACAAATTAGTTCCAAGCAGAAGTTCAGCCAGTTACTCCAGATTAGATCCTTTGATTTCCGCAACTCAGACTCCACTCAGTGATCTGTAATGAGTGACTCTCAGAAATCCTCACATTGCAGCACTTTGTTCCCGAGCTCACAAGTCAGCCCATTAATGGGTAAAGGAAAGGACCTTGAGTCTAAGAAGTCTCGGGTTCAGAGTCAGAATTATTTGACTTTTAAGCTTCCTTTATCTGAACTCCTGCTGACTTCTTGTTTTCTGAGCCTGGTTGAAAGCTAGAAGTTACATTGTTAAGATCAAACATTCTCTCTTTCCAGATGGAGTTACAATATCTGTCTTTTATATATATATTTTTTAATATATATATAGTGTATATATACCAGGGTGTATATATATTCCTCTCCTTTTTTTTTTTTTTAATCGCTCTTTCCATTAAACGAAACTAGACTTGTAGGCTCTTGTAAATTATAATGTAAAACATTTTTTTTAACCAGACAGTTCCCAATTTTGCCCAAGGCAACTGGAATAGCTGCGCCACAGAAGGCAATAGGAAGGTGATTAATATGAATTTGTGACATATTTGAAAGATGGGTCTTTTGCCATATAAAGATTATCAAACACATGTGCTCTTCCCCATTAATTCCGCAGCCCTCCCAGGAAAGCCACAAAGCTCAGCTCCTTTGTTTCCAGGGTGGGTTTTTGTTTTTTTAAATGTACCTTTCGGTCCCCTTGATTACCATGTATTTGATTTTTATAGGGCATCTGTTCACACTGCTGTGTGGGTTCTCTGGCCCTTTTATTTCCCCGTTAATCGGATCCCGCCAAGGCAGCCGTGCCAGGGCCTCTGACGAAATCCGTGTGTGTGTTGTATTTAACTTTTAGCCGTGCAAATTCCATGCTCTGTTTGCCCTCCGCCCAGTGCCCAGCGGGAGCTGGGGGCCGCCTTCCCACCGGGGGAGGCAGTGGGGCCTCCCACCACCCACGCTGCCGCCGGGACCGGTGGGGCTGGAGGAGCAGGGATCATTCTGGCTCATTCTGGCTGCCTTGTCCCTTCCCTGGGTGCTCGGCCTTCGGGGCAGTGGCTCTGCAGGCCTTTGGGGACAGGAGATGGCTGCAGGGCTGGGCACAGCGGGGACCTGGCTGCAGTCACTGTGCCTGTGCAGCGCGTCCTTGGAGGAGCAGGGATCATTCTGGCTCATTCTGGCTGCCTTGTCCCTTCCCTGGGTGCTCGGCCTTCGGGGCAGTGGCTCTGCAGGCCTTTGGGGACAGGAGATGGCTGCAGGGCTGGGCACAGCGGGGACCTGGCTGCAGTCACTGTGCCTGTGCAGCGCAGAGCCAGCTTCTTGGCTCGTTGAGCAAAGCAGACCACATCTCATGATGTGCAGTGGGACCACAGGGGTCCTGTGTGTGTCCCATGTGCCCCTTCAGCGGTGTGTGTCCCCATAGCACCCAGTGCCTAGGGTGCCCGGTGGCTCTGTTGTGGCTGGGCACAGAGCACAGCTTTGGGTGCTGAACCTGCTGCCGTCTTGGCCATAGGGTCCAAGCAGCACCCAGCACTGAGTCTCGCTGCACTGCAGCAATGTGGCCAGGGTGACAGTCCTCATTTGCTGCAAGTGCCCCCATCTTTCCTATGGCCGGATTCAGCCCAGAAACCTTGTCTGTGAAGGGTGAAGCTCACCAGAGCCCACCAGGCTCGCTCAGGTGTATCGGTGCATGCTGCCCAGAAAAGAGATGGGTTTTTTGAGGAGCCGTGGTTCTCTCTCAGCCTCTTTGCTCTGCTCCTGGGCTGCCTTATGGCAGGTCTGGATGGTGGAGAAGTGTTTCCAGGCTCTGCCCTATCCTACGCCAACCATCCCCAGCACAGCTGGCCATAGCGCAGAGATGTTCTGCCCATCTCTCAAGGTCCTTAGGGACTCTTTGTCAGGAAGTGTAGTGACAGGACAAGGGGTGATGGTTTTAAATTGGAAGAGGGGAGATTTAGATTAGATACTAGGAATTCTTTCCTGTGAGGATGGTGAGACACTGGAACAGGTTGCCCAGAGAAGCTGTGGAAGCCCCATCCCTGGAAGTGTTCAAGGCCAGGCTGGATGGGGCTTTAAGCAACCTGCTCTGGTGGGAGGTGTCCCAGAGCAGAGTTGTCATTAGCCCTGGTGAGCCCATGTGGAGCAGGAGGAGGCACTGCAAGCCACCTGCCTCCACCCTGGGCAGGCTGGGTGCCACTAGCCATACCGGCTGAGGCATTGCCCATGGGAGCCCAGGGTTGTGCCCCACCTCAGCGGCCACCACGGGCATGGGTGGCCCCGGCTGCGTGCCCTGCTCCACCGCCTGCCCACCCCGCGTCCCCTCCGCGCTGTCTCTCAAGTGTAACGGGTGATCGATCCCCCGTGACAGCGTCCTCTGAGTCACATTCTTGCCTGCAGGAGTAAAGGGCAAAGGCCAAGTTCTTAGTTTTCATAGAAAACTAATTAGACGACTCCATCGAAAATAGGTCAATAAAGCTGATCAGGGGCTGCACAGAGGGAGCCATTAAACACCTTGTGACCTTTGCGTGGAGCAAGTGGGCTGGGGCTGCCTCTTCCCTCCGGGAGCTGCCTGCTCCGTGCCAGCTGGACAGCTGTGTCCCTGTCACCCGGCGGCACCGGGCAGGGTCCCTTGGGCACCTGGACGTGGTGGCATTTCTTGCACGGCTCAGTGCTGTCTGAGGCCGGACAGCAGATGCCAGTGGAACATGGTGGTGGCTGTCACCCTGTGGCGGGCAGAAGCCGGGGTGTCACTGGTGGCCCATGCCGGAGAGCAGGGCAGTGTTCCCAGCAGCAGGGAACCCGCACCGCCCTGTCACAGCCAAAAAGTTTGCTTTTTTCGTGGAGCACAGCCACGCTGGGGTGCCATACCCCGGTGAGGGCAGCCCCACCAGTGGGGACACCCTGCTCCCACGTTCGCAGGTGACACCAGCTACCCCCCCATCACCCTCTCTCTGCACACACTCGCACAGGCATGGGCACAGCCCGGGCTCCTTTACCCCCAAACTTTATTCATGTGGCACATTTACAGCAAGGATTGGAATAACTAGACAATGAAAATGCTGGGTTTGCATTATCGGTTGGTTTAACTGGAACACCACACACCATGCAGTCATGTACCGCCAAGTTCAGTGCCTGTATTGCCCTTCTGGCTGCCGTCACCGGCTTCGCTCCAGGCCATGCACGCACGGGCCCGGGGCTGCAGCCTCCCTGCAGGTCAGCGCCCGGACCAGGGCTCCATTCAGCAGGGCCCTGGGGCTGGGTGACACCCCGAGGGGTGAGGGGGGGGACACGCGTGCCCTCAGCCTACCCCACGGCTGCCCCCCCCCACCCCCAAACTGCCCTGGCCGGCCGGGAGCCCACCCAGCCGGAGGGGGATGCGCTCGCCAACTCTCTCAGGCAACAAGCCAGCTGCTGCTGAGCATCCGTGGGGACCCGCGAGGGGCACGGCACGGCCCCTGGGGGACTGTGGGCACGTGGTGGGGCGAGGTGGGGGGGCCAAGCCTCGGCTCGGGAACCGAGGGAGGCCGGACGGGGGGGGAGGGGAGCGGGGGGGGGGGCCTGGGGCGATTTGCAGCTCCCCTGCTCGGGGACCTGTGGGCCGGGGGCCAGCGCGCGCTGGCACGTCCACCGCCGGCAATGGACGCGGTGCCACGGCCGGCCTGGAGCTGGAACGGGTCGGCGGGGGCCGGGGCAGGGCTGGGCATCCCACCCAGCCCCGCCAGAGGCACGAGCAGAGGGGGACGGGGACGGGACGGGACACGGCTCCGCGCGGACACTGTCACCTCCCTCCTGCCGCCCGCCCGCCTGCCGGGACCCCTGCCCCACTGAAGGGAGCCCTC